TAAATTTCTAATACAAACACTGACAAATTTATGCAGAAACAGTTTTCGCATTAACAATGCGACTTCACTTCCGCCATTTCTTTCACCTGTTACTCCAGGTAAATTAACTGAGGAGTATACTCGCGTAACACGGGTTGATCACCCGTGTCGAAGATAGGTTGTTTTATTTACAACTCTAGTGACTCGTGTAACCCGTGTCGCTTAATCGAATATACTCTAATTGTTTCGCTAAATATTCTTTGGCCTATCTTCTCCTTATTATTGTAATAATCTCATACTTGTCTGTTTTGGGTTCTAATTAGAAATAAAACGCTCTGTTCTGTTCTGATACGTACTGAAGCCCTGAGGGGATACGTCTATTCTCAAAAAAGCAAATCTAATTTGAGAGAAATACACGATCCGTTTCCATAGATGATCAATTCGTTTCCTTGATTTATAATTCGAGATCTCGAATTACATATTTCGTTTTCACATACTAATTCGTATTCTCTATTTATAATTCAAGATCTCGAATTTCATAATTCGTTTTCACAGATTATTAATTCGAGATCTCGATTTATCTTCGAATTAAACAATTACAATTATAAACCCCGGTAAGCTTAAGTATACATTTTATAAACCATATACATGTTTCTTTGTCAAGACTAGCTAGTGGTTTAATTAATATTTTTCTTTCCGTTAAAAATCTCTTCCCCGTTTTATAGCGAATCCTTTTTTACGGTTTAAACAACTCATCATCGATACGTACATGCATCTGTAGATAGCTAGTATGTACACCGTATGTCTAATCTGCACGTGTAGACAAGTAAAGTGCTTTATTTGTTGAAAGGACGGGTTTACATTTGTGCATGAGTCAAAGGAGTGAAACTAATCAAATAAGATAATCTAACCTAGATTTCGTTTTAATTTGGAGATCAAATGATTTCATTAAGGTAAGTTTTATTTGAAAACGTACATTACAATGGAAATCAGCAATTTAAATCTTTCAAATGCACGGAAAGGAATGAAAATGAATATATAATCTTGAATACATCTGAAAAAAATATCTATTTATGAAAAAGATAAAATTCGGTCAATTAAATAGTATTTAATCATTGAATAATATGACCAAATAAAATTCTATTTTTGGACTGGGGAAATCCAAAGTTATTTATATAATTTTTTCTGTTTGTACATGTTGTACTTTATATTTTAACTGTTTCTACTGCGTATTCCTGTTTTACTGAGCGGGCATAAAAAGGGTATGACAATGAACTTTATAAAATATGCTGTAAATACTTCATCTTGTTTCCACTGTGTATAATGTAATTTTTCGTTTATTGGTGATGGATCCAGGAATTTTGAAATGGGGGGATCAGTTTAGAGTCGGAGTAAGGCCATATTAAATCTTATGTATATAATTTGGACATAAAAGGGGATGTGGACCCACTGCCCCCTCTAAATGCCTTATGCATAATTATATATACAGTATTTATTTACATCATATTAAACTTGATCAATATAGTTGTCTAAATTTGTGTATTATGTAGGTATTTATATTTAAATTGTCATACATGTATTTTACATTGTAAGTTTGCCTTATGCCTTATATTTCAAACGTGATGAATACATGTGTACTTGTTTATGGAAATGCCACAGCTGTCTTAATTAAGGGTACCAAATATGCCATAGTGTCAGTTAGACTACATATATTTAACGTTAATTAATTAGTCTATTCTTTATATATATCAGGAAGTCAAAGTTTTATATGAAATGTAGTCTATATATCCTTTATGTCATTAAGGCAAAACTTTGGCGTGTCTTACATGTAAGGTTTTGTCACAAGAAATACACGTGTGGAATTAAAAAGCATTAGACTTACCACTCGAAAGTTAAAGCGAATTAGTTAAAAAAAATTAAATTCAAGTGGTCCAAACTCTAAGATCAACGTTAAAAGGTAAACCCCTATGGGAAGGTCTTGTAACCATGAATTCTATGAAAGCCCTAACACCGAGAGTTAAAAAGTAAATCTGGCCAAAGTTAAAGTTTTGTATAATTTCTGTAGATGTGGGTCGAAAACTGAGGTCAAGGTTAAATAAAATTATGTTAGTATCCAAAGAAAGGTCTCGTCATAAAGAAAAACACAAAGGAAGTATGAAAGCTATAGCTAAAATCATAAGTTTTTGGCAAGATTAATTTTTTTGTGGTCAAATTAACAGAAAAATAAAGCTAGGCAGACGCAGACGGATATGGTAAAAATAAAACTATATGTCCCGGATCTTCTATGACAGGGGCGTAAAAGGTTATAAAAATTATACCAAGAAAAGAAATTCGGCCCAGGATGAATTCTGTATTCATCCTTTTTTGTTTTATAGTTTTTGGGACTTAAGCATACTAGACTTTAATAAGAAAATATCCGATATACCAGCTAAATAGAATTAAATGCACATGAAATTTATGGAGATAACAATTATAATTCAAGCCCAAAAGTCCATGGACTGCACTCAAAAATACGAATCAAAAATTGAAGAAAAAAAAAACAGGGATCTCGGAAACATAAGAGATGGGATCAGGTGCCATGGATGAGTGAGTATCCACTGCGGACCGGTGCCGTACCTTCCTATCCTTATCTTGCTCGGGAAATAACGGAAAAATGCATTGATAAGTATACTGTACTGTTTCTGACTTCTATTAAATTTATATTTCTATTTATTTCAGGCTAACACATTAATGATGAAAGATGAAATAACCCACTTTCTTTAAATCGGACCTTTAAACATGGATATGTCACCAAACCAGAATGGAGTACATACAGGTATATGATAAAAAAGACAGTGATCGAAATTGTTATGTTCTAAATTTGTTCATACCATTTAATAGAACAGGATAAGACCATGCTGTGTTCACTTTTAATCAAAATTTTATTGTAGTGTATGTTGTTTGTTAGGCCTAATTAACCATTTGTTCTTTGAAAATTCGAGAGAAAAAAAAACGAAGGCATACAAGCGGCATCTAGAAAAGCTTTTCACCGGGAAAAATCGTCGGAATTCACGAGTCTTTTCTGCGGCACATTTCACGTGCGTTGCATGCAGATTAACGGGAAAAAATCTGGGGGTTCCTATAGGCAATGATCGGAAAACTCATTTACAATACCGTCGGCTTATTTTAGAATGTAGAAAATCAATCCCGAGAAAATTTGAATGTCAAGAAATGAAATATGAAGAAAACGTCAACGTACAATATTACCATGCTTAATGTCCATTTAAACTACATAAATTGAAAGCAGAGCAACTTCAGTCCTTTAAAAACATCAGAGGTGGAATCAGGTGCCATTGGATAAAAAGCATCCTCTGTTGACCTGTCGCACGTGCTTTGTGTGGTCCATCTTACGATTGAATTAGCGCATTGAAAAGTTTATTTCTGCCATGATTTTGCTCTAATAGACTTATAGACGCATTCACACTGTATCTAAACATATTTCGTTTGTTACAGTTGTTGACGGTAGTAACTCTCGTGAGTCTAGGTCAGACGACCACTTCATGTTCTGACAACCAAGTTTATCACTCAAATGGGAAATGTTGTCAATACGTACGCTGTGAACCCCGTAAGTATTTTCAACCAAATGACACTAAAAGCCTTCATAGCTTCCTTTTCTAAATTATACGTGTTATAGGTCAAATCAGAAAATATAATGATCTAAAACAAAATGACAACACATACCGCACCCTCACAACGTCGGTGGTCCTGAGTCATGAACTAAGTCAGGGGTCAAACCGCAATTAACGTGTTGACGCAAGACCCCCGGCGTTGCGAGGATGCACATACTCAGAAAAATACATATACGTATTTTTATTCTAATAATCAAAAAAAAAAAATTTTTTTAAATGGATAAAGTAATAATATGTTTTTATTCTTCAGAGCACTTTGTGAAAGTCTGTGAGAAGAACGGAGAAGCAGATGTCTGCCAACCTTGTCCCGAGGATACCTACCTTGATGATCGCACGGACAGCAACTTCATATTTGACTGTCTAGAGAAAAACTGTGGTGAAGGTATCTACGATTATAATTTAAAGCAAAATGAGCTGCATTTTTGAAAATTTTATTTTATTATGATCAATAAAACTAAAATCAGAAGAAAGGCTTCTATATACAATTCGATATACACTTTTATATAAGAAATGATTATTGTACAGGACGACAATATTGTAATTTTGATTCAAAACAAATAGTTCTTTCATCTCAAATATATAAAAAAGAAGTTTATTGACGTAATTTTTTTCCTGTCATTACAATAGTTATTTACAATTTTGCAACAAAAAATTCAGACACAAAGTTGCAGCTCGTATAACTTAAAAAAAGAATAATCACCAAATTCGGAAATGAATGCAATATGAACTTCGTTGGGTTATACATATAGAGTGCATCTATGAAAATTGGTTAAAATTTTTGCATATGAATTATGTATATTTTGTTGCAATATTAACTAGGGCTAATTGTAACGGGAACCGTTACAGATGTTCCCCAAACGCTCCCCATGTCCCTTTTCGTGCCTTAGCTTTTCCTGTAAGACCTTTTATAAATACTAAGCATTTAAGGATTTCATTTAACAGTGGCGTAGCATCGTTTTTGAAAGTGGGGGGGCCAGCCAGAGAAAAATTTTTTTTTACTTACCTGAGAAAGTTGACAAGCAAAAAAAAAAAAAAAAAAAAAAAAAGGAAAATGTAAAAAATTTCCCAAACTCGAAAATCCGATTTCGTGTGGGGGGGGGGGGGGGGAGAGGTAAACTTTTTCTCAGTGCCAAGTACTTTCAGTACCAATTCTAATACTACATTTTCGGTACATAACTAAAAGGGGGGGGGGAGGGGCCAACCAGGTTTTCAATTAACATTTCCTACAGTATAAGTAAGGTTGGGAAAGTGGGGGGGGGGGCAGGCCCCCCCTGGCCCCCCTGTTGCTACGCCCCTGTTTAAAGATATTAAAGTTGCAATGATATAAACTATATATCGTTTAACGTTTAGCATGGGCGCACAAGTACATGTACATGCATATGCAGGATGATCATGGCATGTTGGTTAAGCGATTAACACATCTTTCTATCCCGCGAATAATAGAAAAAATACAGATATAAAGTTACCACATTTCAAGTATATATCATTCTTTGAAATACCTATTCACATTTAAATTCTATACTGATTTTAACCTCGGGCTCAAAGTTGGTTTTATTCCGACGACTAGGCAGTGTTAAAGTCGACTAAGGATATCACGCCGATGGCTAACCAATCAAAATGAACTTATTCAATTGTAGTTCCATACATAGAAAAGGGATTTTCCTTTAATCTGTTCAGATTTTTTTTTATATATTTCCTCTCTGGTCATTTTGACAACTCTGGTACCTGTGCCTAGTACATTTTATATACTATGTAAATAAATATATACATGCAAAGGGTTTTGACCGGAACTATTCATTTTTTCCAATGCATAGGAGGCTACTTTCTGGGGTTTACAAGAGATATTTATAAAGACATTCGTCTCATCTAAAGTGACCAATATTCTTTAACACCTTCTCCTTCTTATTAATATATTTTTTTATGAATGCAAATACCTGATAATTTTTTTTTTTACGAATTCGAAGGAGCGTACATATATATTGATTTTGTATTTCTGGGGATTGCGTAATTCTAAAAAAATCAATTAAATTTCAAAGGTTAAATAAACAAAGGATGCTTGGTATTAAAATATTATTTCAAATCAGTAGAATTGAATTCTATTAACGACATCCGAATAAATACATGTAATCAGAAAAGGCTTATATACCAACTTTCTTCATCTGTACTTTACTTTCAAACACGACAGGATTTGTAATTAATTATATTAATAATTTCTATATACTTTGGAAACTCACATCAAATATTCTAATACTCTTTTCTCGAGCTCTTTTCTGCAGTTTCCTTGAAATGTTATGTGGGTCCGAGGTGTAATTTGAGCTTTACAGCGATTCTCTACTTTGTGTGTGAGGGGTGGGGGGGGGGGTATTTTTCTTTCTACCCTAGGGTTAAGATCAAAGGTTAAGTTCGATTTCAAGTTCATAGGTCAAGGTCATTTTGGTAAATAGCTAATATGAACATTCTATTCAGGTTACTAGTGACCTTGACCTAAGTATAAAGGTCAAGGGTAAAAAGATCTGCTTCAGTATGTTTCATGTCTTTGCATTTAGCAGTTCTTAATTCTGCATGAACATCAAAAGACTTAAGTATACTGTCGTTTAACACATTGTGTGTGCACGCATGTGCATGACGTCCTTGCATTTATTTTTGATGGTAGAATAATGTAGGCATACATTATATCTATTCATATTAGAAATTTCACCCTGTATTATTGAGAACTAAGAAAGTTTTAGGCATTTAAACTTTTAGCCAATCAGATTGCAGCTCACGTGCATGTACGTGCGTTCATGATTATTAGGTCTTTCCACCTTTCTGTGGAAAGACCTATTGATTTGCTTATGTTTATTATTATTAGGTCTTTCCACCTTTCTGTGGAAAGACCTATTGATTTCCTTCTGTTTCTTCTTTTCCATTATTATTATTTTTCCGCCGTGTGATTTTGAGTTTCAAGATATATCGAAAAGATTTATAGTCCATAAGAATTTTCTTCGTAAAAGATTATTGCAGTTCACCCTGCGTAAATGAACCTTGATCCCTTTCGGAGTTACGACCCCTTTCGCAAGAAATGCTTGTTATCACTACTCCTCAGAAACCGTAAACCACAGAGGTATGAAACCTTCACCAATGTCTTTGACTAATTAAGGGGACTCTTCAATCTATTCATTGTGAAAGTATTCGGTGACCCCTTCAATGAGTTATTGCCCCTGAAACTTTTTTAATTTTACATATAATTGAAAGTTTTCAAAACGACAAGTCGTAGAGACATGGGACCAACTGCATAAGATTCATTGACCTTTGACCTTAAATTCATGTAAAGGTCAAAGGTCAAGGTCATTCCAAAAATGAGAAAATTAGCTCTTTTTATATCTCTTTTGTCTTTCAACATATACTTAATGTCTATACATCATTAATATGTACTCTTAAAACTG